ATTCTTCAATTACCAGTGTTTTCGCTGACTCGCCAGTCCGTGCCTGTCAAACTAAGAAACAGAAACTGTGAGTCGAATCCGTTTGCTGCAAACGCACTGAGAACTCGCCAGAGTGGACATAAGTGTGAAATCGGTTCCTGCTGTTCAAGCACAAGCCTATAACATACATGAGTCTGCCGGAGGTTGGTGGGGATAGATAGTCGTACAATCATGCATCAGCTTTGAATCTACAGTCAGCTAGCCCAACAAGTCGACTCTTAGAGTCAATCTGCCTGAGCTTGAGCTTTCGACGGAGAAGTGCTGTCAACCTGGCACCAGTGAAGCTGAGATTCTAAAGCCAAGGTACAGCTCAACTAGACCCCATCGTGCTGATGCCGTTACGAGTGTGACGTGTTTTCCGGTATCTTGGGGAGAAAGAACTGCATGAAGGCATGACGTGCCGCTCTAGTGTTCTGAGTGTTCTCAACACTTCGATGAGAGATCCAGATCAAACTCCAGATCAAGCCATTTCGGGTGCCGCTCACGCCATTTCCCTCCCATCACCTCCGATCTGCTTCAGCCTCGTCCGGAGATGTGAGGATCAAGGTACATTCAGCCCGGAGCGGTGGTGGGATCTTCAAGAGGCCCCCCTCCACTGGAAAAGAGTCGGTGTTTCATTGAAGGATTGAGACACGCCTTCCGGAATGATCACTGTTGAAGAGAAAAACACACACACACATGACATGACATCATTATTGTCACCTGGATCAGCACCGAAAACGGGTATAGTCATGAAAAACTGGGGGAGATCGGTCATTTGGTGGCTTCACCCGTTTTTTACCCCATGATTTCAGGACCACACCCACCGGCTCTGCCTGCTTTTACCTTTGCCATCCACCGCATTGAAGGGGTCAAGGCGTTCCAACCGGACCGACCGAAGACAAGAACAACTGCTGCAGTTGGGCAGAAAAGCACCAAAACCTGGCTTTGCCTCCAAATTGAGGGGGGCAAAACGCAGCAGCACAGCACAGCAACGCGCCGTGAAGAAATGGGTCATGCTGCGTTGCTAAAGACCTTCATCTCCCTGAGATGCATCCTGCAGTTGTTGCACTCCCTCTTCAAGCGGATCTTCGTCCCCATCAAATTACACTCGAAGGTGTACTTCTCGCCCTTGCCCAGGGCAGGTGCATCGCTGCCACATTGGGTCCAGTCGCTGCCCATGAGCACCATCGCTTTGATGCCCGCGGGCGTCCCTCCACTTTGGTCCCGTGCCCAGATCTCCACCTGGCGCACGCAGCTGCTGCTGGCGAAGGTCACCGTGGCCGACGGGTTGTTCGCTTTGCAGGAGCGCCAGTATTTCCTGGGAAGCAGCTGATTGCTTTTGACTACTTTTGACATGGCACAGTGTGGGAAAAAAACAACATACTATCACCCAAAGGATGGATTCTTCCGAAGGGAACATCGAGAAAGACCTGAGATCACCTAAGCAGCATCCAAGCTTCTTGGGGTTGCTAGGCATCTCTCCATCTGTCAAATACGTCTTGGAGGATGAGCCGATGGGACTGCAATCTGAACTCACCGAGGGAGTCCGGTTCAAAGCCAGGTTGGTGCCATTGTTGATGTCGCCAAGCATGCAGAATGGCGGCTGCACAGCCGCAAAGAGCTGCACTTCCGAGATAGACATCTTTCCAGAACCATCCGGTCTGGAAAGCTTCAACTTGGAGCCCTTGATGCCACACTGAAAGGTGAAGGCCGCTTGCGTCCCGACATTCGTGGAGGTGTCGCCACACTGCTGCCATGCTTCACCGTCCCACACCTGTGCTACCACCCCAGCGGCCTCGCTGGCGCAGCAGTCGGGACGTGACCAGATCTTCACGCGACGGACGCAGGTGGTGTTGAAGGATAAGGTGGCAGCTGGCGCGTCGTCATTGCCGCAACTAATCCAATACTTCTTGTTCTTGTTGCTGTTCACACGGGTATGTCCATCCGTCAAATAGCCTTTGCCTCTCTTTCCACCTTGTAGTGCGCATTCGCTGGTGACGGTGGGGTCAACACCCAGCACCACGTTCTTGCTGGTGTTTGTGTCCAGGTTTTCGTCACACTCGATCTCTGTAGAAAATAACTGGTCACCAAGCTTTCCACTTGAATCAGTTGACCGGACCAGTTCTTGATTCAACGCTCGGTCAACTGATGCATCATTGACCTTGGCACCTTGGCGCCTTATCAGTTGACCGGCCGCATGCACCTCGATGGAAGCGGTGTGTGCGCCTAGCACTGGCAGCTTCAGAATGCACAAGAGAGGCAGCATAAACATGGACACAGAGGCCACAAGCTCCTGTCACCGTCTATGGAAATGATGTGTTGCACCTACAACTACCTAACTACGACTTGGTCCACAGTGCAGGCAGATGGGCAACATGTGAGATACTGCGATTCAGGCTTCCAAACCCATTGGTCGAGACCCTACGGGGCTTTTCGTGGTACGTATGGCATGAGCAAAGTACCTTTCTAGGGCTATTTGTGAGTCTATCTGTCGGTTCCATTTTCCAGGTCACCATGGTCGCATCTGCTGTGGATGTGCAAAAGCCTGGACGTGAATGATTCACCCTTCTCGCCATGGCTTCAGGTTTTTCACAAACATCTCACAGGTTCTGAAGCTTCGAAGCTTCTCACAGGTAAATGTTCTGAAAGACTCATTCAGAATCCAAAACGATCAACGCACCATGAACGTGACGAACTGACCTTGAACGCCTATTTCAGTGGCAAAAAGCTTAGAGGGGTGATCTTCCCAAGTGCTCAGCTCATTCTACCCACTGACTGACCTTGAACGCCTTGAACATCTGAATCATTCTATATACAGCTATAATCTTACATGGCACATCCCACTGTCCCTGGAAAGGCGGAACCCCATCCCCAACCGCCCAGGCTTCCCGGCATCACGTGCAAAGGCGGTGATGAGTCAGAAGATCTGGGAGCCGAACCTCCATCAATGGATTTGGGGGAAATCTCCAACCGTTCCTGGTTTCGCCCCGTTCGTAGCGTCCATGCTACTAGTAAGGCCAGGGTCGCCCCGTTCGTAGCCGTCCGATCGCTCCGTTCGAGTCGCGACGATGCCAGGGTCGCCCCCTTCATCGTGGCGTCCGATCGCATGTCCCCTTCGGTGTTTGTGTTCTTTTTCCGTTTTGCTCCTTAGTTGTTCTCGATCTGTTCGGGCCTTTTTCGTTGCTGCAGTCCTTTCTTCGCCCTCTCTCCGTTCCTGGGAGTTCAGGTACCTGAAATCACCAGAAGTAATGGCTAATTACGGCGGCTACGGTGACCATTGGCCCATTCTGCTTACATCATGGGCATCCCAGGATCAATCAATGCACGACTTGCAAGAGTTGGGAAATCAATGGCCCACTGGTTTTTGGACCCAGTAAGTAGGAGAGGTGAACCGTGGCAGATGGCATCTGGGCAAATCAGAAATGGAGATCATCAGAACGACCCGCATCTCACTTTCGAGCCGTAGATCCCTACGACATAAGGGCCTTCTTGCTCAGTGGGGTTTTCCCAATGCCCCCCAACACTTTCTATAAAAGTTATATATCCACATTTCCTGGGTGGGACATGATATCCGGAGATCATTTCTGTCATTCCCCCAGCATCAATCTCAGCAGGTCAAGTTCCTTCCAAAGGTTTATTGGGCGATCATCATTCTACTGCTAATATAATCCCACCATATCTCACCCTCTGGATGCTCCAACTTCTATCGCCATGGCCTCCATCCTGCTCGGAGCACCGAGGAGGTGGGTCGACCTCGCGGGCGGTCCCTCGGCCCCCCCCGTTTGAGCCATCGCACCTTCCGTGCGAGGCGGACATCCGACCTTCCGTGCCCAACCGTGACCTGCGGCTTTGAGCCATCGCCCACTCCAGACTCGTCGGTCGGGACGGAGCGGAGCGGAGCGCTTTGGAGCGCCGACTCCGTCAGACGAGAGCTGCGGACGACCACTGAGCTGCGGACGACTGTGAGCTGCGGACGAGTGTGGACGGAGGTCTCCGAAAACCAATGGAGGTCTCGGTGTGAAGAAGAAGGCGTTTTCGACAGGTGTTTCTCGGTTTGAAGGTGTTTCACCAATACACGATCATAAATCATAGACGTCTGCACTGCCTGAGATGAAGAGAAAACAGCAAGGAAGCCAACCAATCTGGACGTGTTTTGGTTCATCTTTTCAGTGAAGCTGTGTGCGGCTGTGTGGCCGTGCAATAGTGCAATGTGAGGCGAATGATGGGCGAGTTTCGCTGCACCGTTGGAACACAAGGGACGTCAAACGTGGACCATTTGACCCCACCGGTAAAGAAGGGAGCCCCATCCGGTGAGTTGCTCTCAAATGGTGTACCCCGTTGGACATCGGCGGAAACATGCCATCCAAGAGACCGAGCTGTAGCCAGCTGTAGCCATGGCTGTGGCAGAGGCCATGGCACACATTCTTCCCATAAGGCTGAGGGATCGATCAAAAGCGGCCAAAGGCTGCTGATCTTGAGGATTTCTATGGATTTCTTGTTGCTTATCTATGATCTGCAAGGATGCACTGCCAAGTGATATAAAAAGGACAGTACATGGAAGACTGCCAGCAGAGCCATGTCATGTAGCATGCCTCACCATGACATGGAGTGGTCTGAGGCCATGGTCTACAATGTTTGAGTGGATGCACCCCTAAACTCAGATCCGCTGTCATGAAATGGCATGGTCGTTGCCTCCATTCACTGCAGCCTGGCGGGGCAGAATCTCAGCATCTTTTTGGGGCATTTGGACATCTAACGAGGCTTAGGAGATGTCTTTGGAGGAGTGCCTGATGCCAATGCCAAACTTCAGCCTCAAGCATATGGCCCGAACTTCTACACCTTTTGACCTACAGAGTTGCAGCTTGCTCTGAAGAGGCTACGTCTAGTTGTGACATTCCACACTACGAGAGGAAAGACATTAAAGCCCTATCACTTGCCCGGGATGAAACTTTTACACATACTTACCAGTACTACACTGCTCAGGGTTCCAAGCGTTCTGTCTCGGTCGTTTTCTTCAGCGTCTGTCGTTCGACCGTGATGTTCGTCAACGCAGCCCTTAAGGCCATCGAGAAACCCAGGAGATCGACTTCCATGAAGTCGTTCACCTCGGTCGATGTATCTTGCACAAAGACATGGAAATAGCGTACCTGGGCGGTCCATGGGACACGTCTGAGAAAAACAGCCCCGTTCGAAAAGAAAAAGACATGTCAGACGTGACGTTCTTTTCAACTAGATCGATGTTTTTTGTGCCAAGAACTGTTTTCTATTTGTTTTTCTGCACGTTTATGCGATGGTCTGGTGAGTTTCAGGAGCCATGGAGATCTTCATGTGGAGCATGGCTAGTTAGCCTCGGTGGCCTCTTAAAACCAACAAACCTCCAACAAAGCAACATTCAAAACACATTCAAGTAATTCAAAACTCTTTAAAAACATGTTCAATCAACGTAAACAGCAAAAAACACCTCAAGATTAACACATATCTAAACAACATATCTTGAAGACTATGTACAAAAACAAACGCACACCTCGATAACATCTGTCTGGCTAAATTCGAGTGCCCAGGTGACCCACTGCGCTCCCCCGAGCAACGTCCAATAGGTGGCGAAGCCGGCACCGCTTCGAAGGCAGCCGCGCACGTTCCGCGAGTGTGCGCCGCACACGAACTCGATCACAGCCACGGGCTGGTCGCAACGCATCCAGATGATGTTGGAAAAACCCGTGCCATGCGGACCGAAGACCAAATAAGCTGAGTTAAAGATCCGGAATTGCTCTTGAAAACTGGCCGTTGCACCACGAGATGTGCCATCGAATTCGATCACATCATCTGGCAAGCTGTAGTATCTCAGCATCTTCTTCGCCAGCTGCAGAACCTCTTCAGAATGCGCTGAACTCAACAAGCGGCCATGCTCCGCTGTATTAGGCAGTCGGATCTCATACACGACCTGTGTGGCCTCGTTCCAGACGTGGGTCCGTGAAATGCGCTGCTTCCTCGGCTGCTTCCTTCCCCGCAGGGCTCGGAAAAGGGGTGAAAAAGGGGGATAAAGAGATGAACAAACACTGGAACACGTACACCATACACCCACTAGAGATAGCATAAACTCTGGGATTTGAAATAAAGGATGCTTTCCTGGTGGGAGGCCATGTGTCGGATCACCTTCCTCGGATCACCTGCTGCGATCATGTGCCTTTGAACGACTGTAAGCATATTTTTTGTATTAGTAACGAAGCTACTAGGAACAAAGGGCATCGCAGCTACTAGTAGCTCCTGGCATTTCTACTAGTAACAAGAAGCTACCAGTAGCAATGTTTTACAATATCAGCTTGTGAACATCCGTGTTGCAGTCATTGACTATACAGGACCTTCTAGGACCTCCATGGACCTCCGAATCCGAGCTTCAAGTGGTTGAAGAGCTGTGGAATGCGCAGATACTGCGGCGAAGAGCAACAGCTGTTAGGCACCACCGCTAGCAAGGTGGTCGCACAAACCACCTTCTCCGGTTCAATGAAAAAGGCTCGCCTGGAGAACACTCAGGTGGATAGAGGGTATTGGTAGGAACAACTTACCCTCGGCAAACCCACAGGACTTTTCAGTTACTATAACATGTACTCCTCTCTGGCCGAAAAACAAAAAACATGTGTCTCAAAATGAGGTCACGTCCGCCTCGTTTGCATGTAGATTTTTTAATCACCGTTTTCCAACCAGCCCCAAAATGTTTGTGAACGTTCACGCTGCCCCCTTCAGGAAGGACTGCTCTCAAACACTGACTTTGGGCGCTTCTGGGAGCTTCAACTTTGTCTGATATACCTGGATCTTCCAACGACATGACAAATTTATGCCTTTTCATCCATAAAAATCAGCCAAAAGGATCCCAAAGGCATAACTTGGGCATAGTTGGAAGATCCATTCTAGGTCCATGCTTCTCATTCTCCTGTTGAAACCTCCTGCGTTCAGAACCTCTGTCAATTCCACAAAGCCGTTCCTGTGCAACAATCAGTTCAAAAGCATCCAAACACCAGGCTTTCATCCCAGCCGAGCCGTCCCTGTCCCCCCCAAAGCCCATTTCTGTCCTTTTGAGGTCTGGATCAAACCATCTCAAGAACGCTTTGATCTTCTTCTTGTCGTCCAGCTCCACTGCCAACTTGCCTTGTGGAAACGAGGCAGCCATCCACACCAAGACCGGCAGCAAATCATGCAAGACATGGCCGTACTGGAAGGACAGGAAGGAAAAACCGCGGAAGACCACCTTGGGACATGGGCGCAGACGCTCGCTTTTCTTTGAGACATGGTGCTTTTTCCTTTTCATAAGAAGCAAGATCTGCGCTGTGGTGGATCCACTTCTGCGTCTTGACCTACATTCTTTAACCTCCAAGACTCACCAAAGACGAGCCACCTGCCACGGTGCATGTGGTGTACACACCCAACAAACATGACCAATACCGCCAGTGTGCAAAACTCACAGGTAAAACCATACCAACTTCTCCCCCTTCACAGCCGTCTCCGTGCGTGTGCCCCTCCGCGCTCGACGGCCATTGGCGGCCCTCTCTCTCGACTCCGTCCACGTCCGTCGGACCGACGTTGGCTGAGGCACCACGGTTCCGTTGGGCGAATAATCACAGGAGGCCAAGTCTCCCGTGCCACGTGGCGGCCAATAGTACCCTGAGAGACCGGTTGCGGACCGGGCCAGACGAGCGGGGGGGGGGGGGGCGGTAAGGCGGTAACGCGGTTCAGTCGGTTCAGTCGTCAGTCGAGATCTGGATTCGTGAGGGGGGAGGCCTTTCCCTGCGGACATCGTCAGGTCATTCGACCCAGTTGCACCCCATATTCTTTAAAGAGCCTACAAAGTCAAAGTGGATCATGACCACTTGCTTCGGACTGGACTGGACCACAAAGATCCCTGCAGATCGGGTCTTCCAATTTTCCACAGGGTGGCACCAATGAAGCCAACAATATGTCAACAGAAGTCAACAGCTCTTTACCAGAAGAGGTGGACTTCAGACCACCGGATGCATGCATTCATCTGTCTTTCTTTTCCCCTGCAGCACATCATGTCTGTGCCAAGTTGCTGGAGTTGTTGGCAGCTTCCCACCAAGAGGCCACCGTGGAGAAATGGCCTCGACCCTCCTGGGTGGGATAGAGAAACCTGCCGTTCAGGATCGTCTGGACATGGAAGACATCGCGAACCGACCTGAGTGGGCCCGCTGCAAAGGGCAGCAACCAACCCGGGCAAGTCCGACCAAGTCTCAACCCCGTCCCCCCTCAAAAAGACGCCACGAACGGGGCGACCCTGGCATCGCTACGAACGTAACAAGAAGCTACTAGTTATAACAAGGGATCCTCTGGTCTGTGCATCACGGCAAGACCCAGGTCGTCACTGGTGCGAAGATTCCCTGCTGATCTTCCGATCGGCCCCCCCCCAACCGTCCTGCGAGTTGGGTTGTGAGAAACGCTGCAGGTGCACCAAGAACGTATTTTTCATCTGCCCTGGATGTCAAGAGAGCCAAAGAACCTCAAAACGAACCTGAAGATATCGTGCCAGGGGAGATCCCAGTATGTACTGGAATTATACCACGCGCCCCAAAAGGTTCCAACGAAAGAAAGCCTGACCAAGTCAGTCAGTGTTCCAAATACCTTTCCCCCTTCCCTCTCTGGCTCGCTCGCTCGCCCTCTCACTCTGTCTGCTTCACTGTGTGTATTAAAATAGGGAGACCTCCCAGTCCGACCCTCTGGAAGGAAAGCAAACCAATTGGGCCGGGAGGTCTCCCTATTCAACTACAATCAACTACACACTCATACCTGGACCATCCTGTTAGGGTGCCCTGTCTGGAAGCCCCGACTGGATGGTCCAGGTATATGCGCAGCTCCATCCTCGCCTCTCATCCACCCCTCGCTTGCGCGCCGCGCTCCACGTTCTTCCTTCCTTCCGTCGTCGCGCCTGGCGAGCACGCTGGTGGCGTGTTCGTGGAAGGTGCCGTAGAGCGTCTGGCTGGATCGATCCCTCACAGAAGCACCCAAGTAGACACTGACATCTGCAAAGGCGGCAGTGGCCTGGAGGAGACGGATTCGAGACTCGAGACTCGAGGACCCTCCCCCGCGGGACCCGACGCGTCAAACACCGTCGGCGTCGCATCGAAAAAAAAGGACCCATTTCGATCGGGTCCAATGGACACTTGGCAAAGCATGTCATGATACTGGGTGAATCCTGGACTAGGTTCGGAAAAAGCCTGGAAGGGGGTTGAGTTTCGGTGAAGAAATGGAGAGGTGCTCTCACTGCTCCGTTCCATTTTTTGGGTGAGAGGCTCGTCCACCCCCACGCGAAAAGGTTTGCAGGTTCACCACTTCCCTGAAAGTTGGTAAAAAGAACACTAAAGAATTGCGCCAAGGCCACACAGGGCTTCAGATCTATCTGGACATCATCCCAATCATATTGAGATTGGATCAAAAGCAGCAGCACCGCGGACCCGCCCAAAAGCGCCGCCAGTTGCTGCAAGCGCCGGAAGCTGAGCGGAAGCTTAAGTTGATCATGGCTCATGGGGCTGCACGGTGCTTCGAGTTTTGAGTCTGAGTCTGTTCTCTTCCAACATGGTTCTCAGGGACGTGGCGTTCTACCCCAGTCGACCCCCGTGTGACGGACAGGACCCCGGGATTCAGGGATCCCGCAAAGTGCTGCGCAAGTGATTGAAGTCTCTGACATATATACGGTCGACATGAAGTCACTGGACTTCTTTTTTGTGGTCCCCAAGTAGATAGAAATGGTTTCCAATACATTTTTGGTGGGAATCAAACTTTCTCTCCATGAGGGGGTCTATAATATCTAGTTGTTTTTTGGTTTTCTGTTGTACTCTACCCAAAAAAATCAGCTCGAACGGTGGGATTTTGATGGATTTTGGCCGTTTTCTTCCCCCCTCCATCTAACTTGCTGACTGAGCCCAAGGCTGGGTATTTCGCAGCGCAGAGTGGTGTTCGCAGCGGACCGGCAGTCGATGCAGTTGGTTGACCTGTCTATAGTTCACCCTCTCTAGTTCTTGCCCAAATCCAAATGAAGTTGACAAGTGCACAACATAACCCGAACGATGGAAACCTTCGTGGTCTTAGATCTTTTCGTGAGAACAAGAGAAGAATTGGATCACGCGATTCTTGGATTGTTGTTTTGAGACTCTTTATCTGGACTTCTCAATAACAGCTCAAGGACCCCCCCCATGTGTAGATTCTGTGGCATCCTGCTGCTCGATCTTACACCAACTGCGGTCACGGGTGTAGTGACGTCTTTTTTCCGCTCTGCTTTCTCCGCATCCAGCGCTTTGAAGCTTCTCAAGACTGGAAAGGTTCTCAGCGCTTTGAGATTCCACCATTGGGTGCGGGTCAAACACCCGGTTTTGCCCCCCATCCAATACTCCTATAGTATCCTATGGTATGTATATAGTATCCTATAGTATCCTATAGTATCCTAGGTTCCATTCTCCCTTGGCCCTGGGGTGTCATGTGTCGACACGTGTGTCGACACGTGTGTCTTGTGAAGCCTTCAGCCAACTAACGTGTGCCGCTCCATCCTTTGAGGCGGTGAAATGGCATCCGGTGAAACGTCTTCGCGATCGTCATCGCCTCGGATCGTGCGCCAACAAGCGAACTCCAGATCTCTGCAACGCGCTGGGATTTGTGTGGTGAGGCATGCCGCATGGCTATCGGAAGTATGGTTTGAAGACATACCTACTTCGAGCTGCACCTGAAGAAAGGTGATGCCAAGTCCACACATCCTTCTTTTTGCCATGCGACCGTGGGCTCTTTTGCTTCCCCACTTCAAGCTCCGTGGGCTCCGTACCAGCCATGCCGGACCCGGTCGTTTCCACCGGTCTCGGGGCGCCGAACTCGATGTCGCGGGGGTCGCGCTTCTCCATCGAGGCCTGCGCTGGTCCGGGCCGGTAAGGGGTTTCGTTTTCTAGAGGTAGATATAGGAGAGGGCAGGTGGAGTGCATGCGAGAAGGTATCGCAGGTTCCGCTTGGGCAAAGCATGGCAAAGCAAAAAAAAGGATACCAGCTAGAATCACAATAAATGGATTGAATGAGATAGAACTGTCCCAAAATCTGATGATATATATAGGATGATAGAATTGACAAACCGCTGTGAATCTCCAAATATGATAGAATCTCTATAGAAAATGACATGACAGATCTGATGCGGTCTTTTAATCAAAGCTGCCACCTCTTGGCTCCAACCGGTCCCGGTCGAACGCGCCTCGTCTCCAATGGAATCTTCCGAGACCTCGTCTCCACGGAAGAACGACGGACCGCGTGGGGCCACGTTCCGCCGGTGAAAAAACGTGATGTGACCAACCTGTCTTCGTAAAGCCTCGATGTGCGGACTGACTCCAAAAAGACGGATCAAGGTCATCATGCATCTTTTTTGTGTACTTGCTTCTTTTGAAACAAAACACGATCGCAAACACCAAACCCCACTTCATGGCCGTTTCTCATCGCGCTTCGCGATCTCGACGCTTCACGCGGTCGACTGCGGTCCCCGGGCCGAGCGCTTCAGCTTGGGAGGCACACTGCCAGCGGGTGCCGCCACACCTGGGCCGAGCGGGATGCGCAACCGAAGGGGTGCAGAAGACCCACACAGACACGTCAAAGACGGTTGTTTTGTGAGGTGTTATGCTATGCAAAGAATGAGTGAACGGTGCATGTTGGGGGAAAGAGGAAGTAGGGGAAGTAAGGGATATACAACATGGTAAAGCAATAGCTGTATAGAAATGGATAGAATTGGATAATGGCAGGCATAGTAATAGGATATGTATCAACTATAAATACTTGCACCTGGGCCTCAGGTGCTGGTGGAAGCAAACGTGCCACACATGAAGGTGCCTCATCTGTCGGATCCGTAAGTACTTTCGAAACGAGTATACAAATCCATTTCGGCTGCATTCAGTGCAGGTTTCACCACTTTGGACCCCACCATGGTTTCTGCAGAAGCAGAGATCGTCTTCAGCCGTCTCAGTTTGAATCCGTTGTTCCTTTTAAAGTTTTATCAACATTGAATTGGGAGGCACATTTTTCTTGGTTCATCAGCCAACTCAATCCATTCTGGAATCGTTTTGGGGCTTTACATCTGGCTTTATAGCCACAAAACACGGGAAGCTTGAAAACCACTCCGCGGATGGCACACTGCCAGCGCTTTTGACGCCCCAGCGAGTGGGGGTCACCTCAACTTGTCACGCTCTCTACGCTTAGTTCCCCCTGCACGGTTCCTGGATGCTTCCGCGACACAGGAACATGTGACACAAAATGTGGGACCGGCCACGCCGCTTCAAGGCAGCCGCCTTCATTCGGCTTTACTTTTTTTTTCATGCCTTTCCATCCGTAAAGGCATAACTCGGCACTCTTCCTTGTACCAGTTATAGCATTTACTCATGAACTCTTGAATAAGGTCTGCAGACAAAGCCTTTTTGTCCTTGTCATTGACTTCTTTCATTTCGGGTATGACCGTATGACCCTGTACCAAATGAAGCGACGGATCGTATCAATGGGCGGAGACAGTAATCTTGCAGAATCAATCACATGTTCGTCAGAAAGGAAGGGTTCTGCTGCTTGCTTCTCTGCATAATGAGTCGTACGACTTGGGCCACCCCAATACTCTTCTTGCTCGTTGTAACACAATGAGCTTTACACACACCGCGTCTCTGTGCTCTACAGGGAATGTATTCGTAATCTGTGCCTCTTGTCACTCCGGGAGCAGTATCGCGCGCAGAACTTACGCACCTCGTCTTTCGTCCAAAGCTCATGCCGCACTCGCACTCTCCACGTCGAACAGCGCACGAACGGCGCTGCTTCTCGACGGACTCACGGAAGGCTGGTCGATTCCTGTGTCCATGGTCGCCGCTTTGGGTTCGGTTCCGCTACGAACGGGGCGAAACTGGCATCGCTACTAGGAGCAAGAAGCTACGAACGGGGCGAAACTGGCATCGTTATTAGGTTCCCTTCCGGAGTCAATGGGGTGGGTGGCAGAGCCGGTGACGAGAGCCATGGCGAAGACGTGGAGGGGCATCTCGCGGTCGAGGTCTGCGGGCTTACACTTAGTTCTGCAGAACCTGTTTGAATCTGGGAGTGTCACTTCACTTTTTCATTTTATTGCAAAGTAAAAGATCATGTGAATCATGTTACAGCGTCGTAAGCGCTGCAAACATCCAAGCAGATTCCTGCGTTTGAAGGGCACGAGGCCCCTCCAATGACCCACGGAAGTGTCAACACGCCTGTCACCATCGTCACCCTCAGGCCCTCACCCGGATGATTGCTTGTGCCAACCAATCCCAAGGTGTTGGGGTTCACGTCCAAATCCTCACGGCCGAGGGCGGGCGGCGATTCCCTAGTAGAGATGTAGATTGATTCTCTGGGGCGGCTGAGAACTCCATAATGTTTTTGTGAACTCCAAACTACTAGCCAAACTTATATACTGTTTGAGTATATCTAAACTTTAGACCAATACAAACAGATGGTACCATGGGGCATGATCGTGAGTTTGTGAAGTCCTCACTGCATCTCACGGCCCTGTTTGGGCCAACCGAGAACAGCACTGCGCCGGCTACGCCGGCTGCAGCCAACCGACGCTCGTCGTCCTGTTCGCTCCTGAGCTGTCTTGAGCGCCAGCTGTTCGATGCGGCCCAAGTCCTTCAACATGAACCTGGCCGAACCGTTCGATGCCGTCTTGGCGGCCCGGCAGTGACGGTCCGCGAAGGGCGGCGAAGGCCGTCCCCGAACTGCTGGAGCTGTTGGGGCCAACTCGGAGGTCACGAGGTTCACGACCAAGAGGAGACAGGGGGACTGATGTGAAGAGTTTACCCAATTGGATTGTAAAAACTATGTATAAAACCTCTTCAGATCCGAGGTATTTGACATACCTGGATCTTCCAACGACAAAAAAACAATCTCTGCCTATCAACAGTCCACATGGACAGGATGACCGGTCTTTGCGGTGAATATCCCGGGGGAGAAGAAGGTAACTTGGTACGACCCAACACACCGAGTGGTTCACTTCAACTTAGGCAGTGGACCTTCCCCGCAAACACCGAGGAATCTCTGGAAACATGAGAAGCAAATGGGGAGGGTCCGCAAAACTATCTGGTCCAAATGGATTTCTTGGCCTGTCAGCAACCTCAGTAGACGTTCTTTACATGACAATGGCACCCGGGGTAGAAGCAAGAGATAACAAGTGAACACTTTGTGGCTTCTTCAGCCACCACATGCCGACACTCATGCCCTACTTACGCCAGGAGCCCTCTCTCGCGCGAGCCGCGTTCCGTCTCTGAATCTCGCCAGGGAGGCTGGACATCTCTGTAGGCCTCGTGCAGCGATGCGTTCCATGCAGCGTCGCTTTCGCCGTCGGCGTCTGTCGCTGTTTTCACACGGCGAAACGAGTCGCGGCCGCCGGTCACTCATCTTCAGGGAAAACGCATGTGGAAACATGAAGAGGTCAACTGGTGGGTCGGAAAACACATCAGCACACACCCGAGGCTCGTCCTATCTTTCAATATGAAAGAGAGCTTGCGAAGATCAAGCACCAAACAACATGATCCAAGCATCATCGCAGCAACGATCCAAGCGCACAACCCACGGAATCGACGTTAGGGGGAGTGCCCCCCTAGATGACTGTCTTCTTCACGCGATTGAATCAGCTCCGAAAACGAGACACACATCACGTCGTGCGGCGTGCAACCCGCCTGAACCACCCGGGAGTGCTCCGCGTGCGCCTCCTCGGAATCGTCCAATTCCTCGAGAAAAAAAGGCCACGTTTGAAGGCCTTCGATCTGATCACGGATTTTCTCGTCAGCTTTGATTGAGATTTACATACTGCAGGTTGTGAACGTACTCCGCTAGACGCCGCTAGCCTGCAGTGACCACGCCAAAAATCTGACCACAACATCATCTTCTTCTCCTGGATTCCTTCGTTTCTGACGCCCAAATCCAGCTTCTTACCGCCCCACAGTCACAACGTGGCACCGCCGAACCGCCGCACGTGGCACCGTTCGTTGGGTGCTCCTCCTCTTGCGCCGCAGAATCGCTCTCGGCTTCTGCAGCACGTCGGACCTGGCTAGGCAGCTTTCGGTTCCTCCCAAGCAGCTGCGCTGTGACATGGTCTATGTCGTCTATTTAAAAAGAACACCATGTCTTAAGCGACATTCAAGCTCTTCACCATGTCTTCAGGTTCTGGATCAGAGATAGCTACAGGCTCAAGGAACTGCAAGCTCCAAACAGTGGACTTCACATGTTTGTCATCCACAGCTGAGGAGATCAACTTGAAGCCCTGATATGCCCTGATGCCCGCCAATTCAAGGGTTCCAGAAAATAACATGCACACTCCATGTGTAATCCCTTCCCCAAACATGTCTCCTGCCCTGCAAAAATCTGGACTATCTCCCAGTCCCAGCTCGTGCCTTGGGGACACCTGACAAAATAAACACACACACGCACCTTTTTCGAAATACCCAGCACTTTCTTCCCACGGCATCGACGTATTCTACGGCACCGGCACCGCAAACGTCGTACCGACCGGGTCGCCGACGCCACGGCACGGACTCCGGGCGCCTCGCCGAGCGTCTTGTCGAGGAAGAAGTTCTCCAGGCAACCGAGTTTCCGGTCCTGCGAGGTCGATCGGTCGAGGTCGGGAGGTCGGGGGAGATGGTGGAGCGGTACGAAGGGTCAGCGGTAGAACGTGGTGGAGGTTTTGGTGGTTTTGGGGGGAAAGACTATGAGGATATAATTTATAGGATACTATAGGGACAACAGTTGGATGTTTCTTCTTATAGATTGCATGATGATTGATGTAGATTGGATAGTTTTGTTTCCATTCTTCAACATCCGTTCGTTCCGTCGTGGCGAGGTCGCCTTGTCGAAGATCTTCACCAAGGTGTCCAGCTGCACGGGCTCGTTGGTGGAGCACGCCGCGCAGAACTCTTGGCACGTGACCTGTGGAGCGGTTTGGATGGAGAGAGTTTGGTGGGGGAGGGCGGGTATCAAATCCCTAGGGCTCCAACTACTTGTTGAGAAGGTGGTTGGGGTGAGTTTGGCGGGTCTAACTACCTTCTGAGGATATGGTTGGAGCCCTAGGGAATAGAGGATTCCCCCCAAAAGGCAGCAAACTTGCTGCTTGCTTTCTCTGAGGCGCCCACAATTGGATATCTAACCAAGCTGATCAGCAAGAGTAGGATACACCCCCAGCAGGCCCTGTAATAACTTCCACCAAAGCAAGCTTTCGCAGCGTTCTGTTCTCCCCCACTCCGGTCATGCTCGTCAGCACCAACAGTCCCCATAGGATCCCTGAACAGTCCCCATAGGTTACGTGGACAGCACCACCGTTCCGGTCATCCGATGACTCAGGGCCATGCCCACATCTGTGAGCCAATCACAACCCGAAACGACTCGTTTGTCCAACAAATGATCAGCAGAAGCCCTGTGCAAAAGAGGCTATACACCAACATAAGAGGCCAACATATAGACTATACACCAGGTGATCACACATGGTATAGGTCGGTCTCCCCAGGTGTTTTCAGGTTATCCACCCTGGGACTCCGTGGGACAAGGCACGACATCCGTCTGCGGCGCGTTGTCTTTCCTGAACGATTTGAGACCTGGCGCCATCCGTCCGCGGTGCTGTGTCGATGCCGGAGGATTCACACCCGGTGGTTTATCACACATCACATCACTCTTAGCAAACTGAAGCCTCCTTGTTGCTGACTAGGCAAACCAGTCAAAGCATCTTGGGGTGAAGTATGGTACAAATCAACAACTGGTCGGACCACGGATCATACTTCCAGAATTCTTCCATCACTTACCAGGTCTGGACATGGGTTGGACAACCCGCCCCAAGTCCTCTAGCAAAAGGGTGAAGTGGACCCAACAGTGGACCAAAGGCTTGCTACTTGCGAGGTCTCCCGGTGTGAGACTGACACCTGACACCTTGGACACGGTGTCTAGGCCGCAGTATCCGTCCATCACAGCTTCTCGACTCCACAATGCCGGAAAAGTCGATACTTTCGAAAGCTTTATTGTTACTAGTAAAGTAGTATCCGCCGACCCCGGCCTATAGCCAAAGCCTAGGCGGGGAGGCGCCTGGGACACCGCAGGGTGAAGCAGTTGGCCAAGCCTAGCAGAACCCTTCCAAGCACTTCCAAAGGCCTGTCCGAGGCCTCGCCAGCTGGCAGGCCTGCTGCGGCCTCTCTGTGGCCTGTCCAAGGCCTGCCTCCTCTCTCGGCAGCTGGCAGGCCTGTTGCGGCCTCTCTGTGGCCTGTCCGAAGCCTGCCTCCTCTCTTCTTATGGGCTTCCGAAGGCGACGTTAGGCATTTTGGACCGCCTTCAAACCCCCGCCCGCGGCTTCAAACCCTTCCCAGCGCCTTTGGCCTACTCCTGCATCGCAGGCCTGCCTCTTCTCTTCTTATGGGCTTCCAAAAGCGACGTTACGCATTTTGCACCGCCTTCAAACCCTCCCCCGCGACTTCAAACCCTTCCCAGCGCCTTTGGCCTACTCCTGCATCGCAGCCTTGCCTGCGTCAGCCGGGAGCCCCCCAGCGCCTTTGGCCTACTCCTGCATCGCAGACCTGCCTCTTCTCTTCTTATGGGCTTCCAAAAGCGACGTTAGGCATTTTGCGCCGCCTGCAAACCCTCCCCCGCGGCTTCAAACCCTTCCCAGCGCCTTTGGCCTACTCCTGCATCGCAGCCTTGCCTGCGCCAGCCGGGAGCCTGGGGAGAGAGCCTCTGGAACGTGCAGCCCGTGCACTGCAGCCCCAGCGCCTTTGGCCGACTCCTGCATCGCAGGCCTGCCTCTTCTCTTCTTATGGGCGTCCAAAAGCGACGTTAGGCATTTTGCACCGCCTTCAAACCCTCTTCTGCGGCTTCAAACCCTCCGCAGCGCCTTCAAACCCTCCGCAGCGCCTTTGGGCCTACTCCTGCACCGCAGCCTTGCCCTCTTCTCGGCAGCAGGCTTGCCTCTTCTCTTCTTATGGGCTTCCAAAAGCGACGTTAGACATTTTGGACTGCCTTCAAACCCTCCCCAGCGCCTTCAAACCCTCTGCAGCGCCTTCAAACCCTCGGCAGCGCCTTTGGCCTACTCCTGCACCGCAGCGTTGCCCTCTTCTCGGCAGCAGGCCTGCCCTCCGCAGCGTTCAAACCCTCCCCAGCGCGAAACCCTCTGGAACCGTACACTGCAGCCTTAGAACTGACCTCTGGAACCTGCCACCTCGGCCTGCACCTCGTTTCTTTGGGGTCCTCCAGGCACCTTCAAACCCTTCCCGGCACCTTTGGCCTAGTCCTGCAACACAGCCTGGCGCGGCTCCCGTTTGCCCGGTGGTTGCGTGGCTTCCGGATGATTGGTCTATACTCTATTTCTTTGTTTCGTGCTTGCGCTCTTGAACTTGCCACGTGTTTTTCGGGCATGGTTTTCCCGCTGGCGTGTTGTGTTGGCACCGAACGCGCCCAAACAACTGTGATGACCAGACCACAGTCTGGCACGCTGGGCATGTGTGCGGATGCTGCCGCGTCTGCGTGCTAACCGTGCCTTCTTTCACACAGAACTGGTTGCCGCACACGGTTCGGTGATCTATCTGCCCTGTCCTCACGTTACTTGCCACAGTTCCATTGCAAAATGGACACGCATAGACTAAGTTCTTCGCGGCAACGTGTCCGTCTTTGACACGAAAAAACTTCCCGCACACACGGCGGTGATTTACTTGGCCTGTGCGCACAGTGCTGGTGACAGACACCTCGCAAAAAGGACACGCATAATGGAAGATTTCCTCGGCGGCCGTCTGTCCAGCCAACTTTGCCGGCGGTGCGAGTGTCGTCTGCGCGGCTGTCGGGGTGGCTTGCGTCTCTTGTTGCGGCTTTGCGTGCGAGTTTCGTAGTGGCGGCGGCGCTGTCCTGGCTTGGCTGCTCACCGACACGTGTTTTGCACGCTTCGCTGCAGGCTCTGCCTGTGCTACTTGCGTTGTCTGTGTGCAGGGCTGGGTCTTGGTGGGCGTCGGCTGTGCTTGCTTGTCTTGTTGTGGTTCCATGTGGCGTTTGCGCGACGGCAGGCTGTCTGTGGAGAGCCTTTGTGCCTCCGGTTCCGTCTTGCTTTGCGCCATCTGGCGTTCTTTTCTCCGATTCGGCTCCTGCGCCCGGGGAGCGAGCACCTCATGCTGCCGCGTCTGTGTGCTAACCGTGCCTTCTTTCACATGGAATCGGTTGCCGCACACGGTTCGGTGATCTACCCGCCCTGTCCTCACGTTACTCGCCACAGTTCCATTGCAAAATGGACACGCATAGACTAAGTTCTTGGCGGCAACGTGTCCGTCTTTGACACGAAACAACTTCCCGCACACACGGCGGTGATCTACTTGGCCTGTGCGCACAGTGCTGGTCACAGACACCTCACAAAACGGACACGCATATTGGAACGTTTCCGCGGCGGCCGTCTGTCCAGCCAACTTTGCCGGCGGTGCGTTTGTCGTCTGCGCGACGGTCGGGGTGGCTTGCGTCGCTTGTTGCGGCTTTGCCTGCGACTTTCGTTGTGGCGGAGGCGCTGTCCTGGCTTGGCTGCTCACCGACACGTCTTCTGCACACTTCGCTGCAGGCTCTGAGAGTCTGCCTGTGCTACTTGCATTGTCTGAGTGCGGGGCTGGGTCTTGGTGGGCGTCGGCTGTGCGCGCTTGTCTTGTCGTGGTTCCATGCGGCGTTTGCGCGACGGCATGCTGTCTGTGGAGAGCCTTTGTGCCTCCGGTTCCGTCTTGCTTTGAGCCGTCTGGCTTTCTTTGCTCCGGTTCGGCTCCTGCGCCCGGGGAAAGAGCACCTCATCCTCGGCTTGCTTCTGTCGCACATGGTCAGCGATCTCTTCCCGTACAAGACCTATGACTTGCTGTCTCTTTTCTTCGGCTACTTTCGTCCGCGTCGCAGCCAGGCGCCGTATGGCTCTATGCGCGACACTTCGTGGCAACCGCTGCCCGTGGCAGCTGTAGACCCGTGCATCCGCCCGGGCAGGCCGTCCTCTGCGCCGCGCACGTCTGTTGTTTGCGCGCTGCGCTGCTGCGCGCTTGGCCGCGCTGAGGACACAAGCGTTGCAACGCTGCGTTCCGTCTTGCGGTGCAGCGCGCTGCCTGGACCAGGCGCTGAAGCCATTGCGCGCCTTACGTTCCGTGCACACGGCGCAGCGCCACGCACCCTTGACTTTCATGGCGCAGTCCCTGCAGACACGTCGGTCTGCATGGCGCCCTTTCCACGCGGCCGCCCCGAATGCACTTTCCGGCTTGGCCGTGCCGCACTTGTAGCACCGCTTCTGTGCCTCGCACGTCTGGCACACGCGGTAGAACGTGCATTGGGGGCGCGCGTACATTCTTGCAAAGGCGTCTTCGTGCTTCCATGCCTTGCAACTGTTGCATTGCCAGGGCGTGTTGTTGGCTGCGTAGTTACGCACGCATTCTCTGCACACACGTGCGTCCGCGTCCCGTTTCCATTGCCCGGCGCTGTACCCGCTTCTGGGTTTGCTTTCGTGGCACTTCGCGACACACTTCCTCCTCGCGGCGCCGCATGCGCAACGTTGCCCAGTCAATGCTCTCTCCGCGCCAGGCCTGCAACAGCAAAGCTCTCCCTACGCTGCGTCCTTTCTGATAGGGTGCAGCATCGAAGGGTCTGTATATGTGTAACCCGTGTCTATCTTTCACTCGCGTCACAGCGATGTATGCGGTCAGAGGGTCTCCGCCTTCGCCGATCTGCATGTCCGTGACCGCCCCTTCTGCGTAAGTTTGGCCCTGCGCCGCGTGCGCAGTCGTGGCAAACCCGGGAGCCAACGGAAATTGCCGTCGCACCACCCGCAGCATGGGCCGCTTTCGGCCCTTGTCCAGATGCCACGCTTGCCGTTGGAGCGTCACCGGAAACACGTTGTCCGTGGATAACTTGTGCGCTCGCCACTGGGACTTGGTCTGGAACCGGACAAAGACACAAGTTGGGAGCTGATTCCAAATATGTGTCGTACTCCCTGCTTCTGTGCCCGCTGCTTCATGCCAGCTCCATCCAACAACTGTGCCAGGACATCCCTTCAGTATGCCTCTGCGGCGATCCAAGTGATCGGTTGCCGTGACAGGCATGCCGACGCACAAGGGCAAAACCCCGTACAGCCCGCCGCAGTCCTGATCGTGACGTTGCAGCCATGTCAACTTGTCTTTGCCCAAGTCCGGTTTTTCTTGCAACGCTCGGCTGGAAATTGTGTCTTTTGCAATGGCATATTTGACCTCTTGCCGGTGCTGGCGTGCCCAGTCTAGTGCACGCAGCTTGTTGACGTGGTACTTCACCGCATTCGTCGCAAAAACAGCCTTTGCTTGCTCCAGCTTCCTTTGCTCGTCACCCCTCATGTTTCCATCCAACACCCGCTTTTTCGAGGCGCGTTCGTGCTGGCATTGCTTGCACTCCAGTGTGCGAATGCGAGCCGGGACGACCTTCCTCTGCAGCAGTTGCTGGCACGCTGCGTTTTCGCAGTCCAGTTTTTCCCCGGACCAACTTCCCGGGACACCTGTGTCGTGCCCATGCAGAAATGCGTGATTGTCGGCGCTCAAAGCACCTTCCCGAATCTGCTGCTGCAGCGTCTGCAGCCATGTGTCTCGCGTGCGCTCACACTGCTCTAGTTCTGTGATGCCGTGGATGATGCTGTTCTCCGCCTGCGAGCCCCACACCAGCTTCTGCCCATGCACGGTGTGGGCGACTTTTTTGCTGGTCCCCTTGGTCAACATTTCCCAAGGCACTTCCCCCCAAAAAGTTCCGCGCGGTGGTGGCAATTGCCATAAATCCCCTGCCACTAGTACGTTCAACCCTCCGAAGGGCTGCGCGTGCGCGCTGCCCGGGGCGTACTTGCTCTGCGCTAGATCGCGCACTAGCTCTCGGCATCGTAAATCCATTCTTGCCAGCAGCTCAGCGCTTACCATGCTGATTTCATCAATGATCAGCCACCGCCATTGCACGGCCTTCGCACTCAGGTCGAGGAACTTGCTTCCGCTGATCTTGTCGTCGGACGCGCCTTGCCAATTTAGGCCCATCGCGTGATGAATGGTATCGCCGTCCAGTTCCTTGGCCATCACCGCCTGCAGCGTGACGACGTGGTATTGCGAGCCATGCGTCCACCCGGCGATACCTTCAAAGAGCTCGCGACGGATCAATTTCAACGTGTGCGATTTACCCGTGCCGGGACCCCCGTGCACGACCCAGCGCAGTGGCTGCGGACTGGCGCCGTCTTCTGCCAGCAGCTCTGCTCTGACCTGTTGCGCGACGCGCTGACAGAGTTCGGCCTGTTTGCGGTTGCATTTGCCGTCGGCGACCGTGCTGCTCCACCGGTCGATAGCCGCCAGGGTTTCCTGCAACCGGCCGGGCCGTCGCGTCACGCTCGGCTCTAGTTTCGTCTGCGTTGCGTTCCCTGCGGGGGCCTCCGCCGCGCGATGCAAACCTTTCACGATGCCCTTCGTGTCCATTGTCGCATATGGGTTTCCCACTTCTCCCGGCGCACTCTTCGATACGCCGCGGCCACCCCAGTGCTGTTCGGCGCGCTGTAACGCGTCCACGAGCAAACGTCGATGTGTGGACCACTTGCTTTCTTTGTGGTTGTCTTCTTCCACTGCCACATGTGTTTGGCAGGCTACGCCTAACAACTCTTCCGTCACAACCAGATCTTCATTGTCGTCCTCGTTGTCGCTATTGTCCAGCTCGGTGTCCGGCCGAACGCGGTACACGCTCAAGAAGTTCCCCACGTATTGCTTTGTCTCGGCACATGGCAGCTGTAGCAACCACCTGCGCAAGCTTCTGTCCCATGTCGTTCCTGGCTCACGCAAGTGCTTGATGTACCGCACTTTGTCTCCACTACGTTTTTTGTCCAGTGTCCATGCCCGAAAATACGTCATCGTCATCTTCGCATTGCTCTCCGTGTCTTCGCCCGTTCTATTCGGCACCGGCGCGCTGGCCATCTGGGGGCACTGTGGTCGGGCTTTGCGACGCAAACACCAGGCGTGGCACAGCGCGTTTCCGGCGCTTGACGGATAATACGCCTTGTTCCGGCTTTCTGCGCCCTGTGCTCTTCTGAAGTCGACGCCTGGCAGCAGCCGCACCTTGCAGTTGTCTGCCTCGGCCGTGCCGAATTTTGCGGCGCCCCTGGCTGTCAAAGTCACATCCGAGTGCGTGCCGTGCAGCTGTTGCCACTCACTACGTGTCCGTGGAATCCGCAGTGGCTCCAGCTCCCACGTTGTCGTAAATTCGTACGGAGACAAACACCATATGTCCGGGCGCGACGGTCTGTGGCCATACGCGTGCGCAGGGTTCACTTCCCGTAAGCTTTGGCGGCCGCCGGGCCCTGTTTTGCCCCACACGTATCTGCTGCCCGAGTGCCCCACTGCCTCTTCGCCGACGGCGACATTGACCGCCTGCAACAAAGCTCGACCAGGGAAGCTGCAGAAGGCTGCTGTGCTGATGCGCTCCGCAGCCACGACGCAGCTGCCCTTCTGATACGCACGCAGGTTGCAACATTCTACCTGCCCGCGCACGATGCCTTTGCAGTACGCATCACTCAGGAACCGCGTCGCGGTTCTCTGTCCGATTTTTTCGACCGGTTCTTTTTGCATGCTTTGCTGGAGCCTTTGCTGGCCCTTCTGCATTTCTTTGATTTCATGAAATGCCATGGGTTGGCTCTTCGCGCAGTAGTCCGCGCAGTATCCCGTCTGCGCATCCTGTGCCCGTTGTGCTGCGCGAACTATCTCTCGCCGTTGCGCTGCAGACAGGTCAGACCCACAGCGCTGGCAATCGAACGGGAGCCGGTACGGGACTTGCACGTCCACATTTGCTCCGCGTAGACTGGCTAGCATTGCTGGGTGACAGCAATTCAGCCACTCGTTGCCATACGGACCGTGCAATGCCCCAATGCGGTTCTTGCGCCCTTGCGTGGCCATACCGTGCGCTTCTGCTTGGCATGGACAAAGTATTTTTGCGACCGGCGTGACCCAAGCTTCGCGGGGGAAGTCGCTTTTGCAGACCCCGGGACGATCTGCTTTCTGGCAGCCATGCAAGGGCACGCGGTCACCTGTCTCTCCACTGGGCGGGTGATAATGATGTTGCTTTAAGAACTGGAGGGTGCTCACATCCTCTGCCAAATACTGCTGTGCCCAGGCTCTGCCCTCCTCTTCTGCCGCTTGTTGCGCTTGCCATGCGCGACGCTGCTGGTAGGGTGGGCTCTGGATCATAGCCACCGCGTCTTTGTGTTCAGGCCATGCGGCCTCTGCATCGGCAATGCCCTGGGCTATGGCCTCCGTATCTTGGCCTGCGTACGTGCCATGCATGACGTGGGCATTGTACTCTAAGTACGCTGCCCGTAATGCGGCCAGCCGCTCGCAGCTAAGTTGGAAGATTTCTTGCAGTTGTGTATGCTGATGCAAGCATTGGACAAAGCACTGGCAGTGCCCATGCAATGACCCGGACGACTTCTGCGCTTCAATCGTAATGTAAGCTGCGTCCATGCGTCCAAAGACGCCGCCAACCACAGTTGCATTACTTCCCATGTCGTCTTGGCACGGCTCTGCGCCAGTGTCTCTATGGTTGCAATCGGGACACGCCGGGCACGTCTTTACCCCAAACAGATGCTCCAAAACTAACATTGCAAGCATACGGAACCCGTCCACGCTGGCCAGCGGATCCCGCGCCAAAGCTTGACGTCGGAGATCCCAGCCTGGCACAAGCCGACGGAAGGTCTCGACATGAAGAGGCCAAGTCGTGTCATTGTCCACAGGTGGGTAGTCTCGGTCCCCCACGTTCCAGTCTTGGTCCCAGGCCGCCGCGCGCACCGGATCGCTGCAGCGAGTTCGCGCCATGCGGACGTACAGCAGTTGGTGTGCTTCGTCGGGCGAAAAGGTGACAAAGAGCGGCACGCCGAAGCGTATCCGCATGCCTTCGATTTCGAAACGCATCCGCTTGCGGGCTTCTTGTGTCCCCGGCAATTCCTGCGCTGTGTGTCGCATGTTCTTGACTAGCTTCCGCGCGGCTGGGCGCAGGCCACGCACATACTGCAGCTTACTTATGTCCATATTTACAGCCTTTGGCCTGCCTCGTCGGTCAATGTACTGGCCTCGCAGCGCTTTCAGCAACTCCTGTGCACTTGCTTCGATATCCTCTCCTTTTAGCCGACGCCATGTATCTGTACTATCGTCATAGACCGGAACGTCAAATAAAGCCACATTACGGCTTAAATTGAGGGCTGAACGGAAATGTAAATTCCAGGCAGAAAATCCGAAGACCCAGTCACGAGCAACGTGTGCCTCGCAACGGCGGGCCATGATTTTCACCCAGTCAGCCAACTCTACCCGCGGTGCGTCGGGGTGGCGGCGGAAACGTGCCTTGGCGCTCCATGCTGGCGGGTCTGGCATGCCGGTGCAGTACTTAAAGACATACGGAAATGCTATGCCAAAGTATTTTGGCTGGAATTGGTCCAGCAGTCTGTTCCCTGTCGCCGGAGCTCTTCGTTGCAGTCGCTTGCAACGCAGACACGTGGCTGGCATTGACGTCCGTTAACCCGACGCTGGTCTTTTCGGCTACCACAGCATTGGGTTTCATCATGTGCCTGAATTCTTGCGCTAAGTCGTGGCTTGGCATTGCTTCTCGCACCGGCGTCGCGGCTTTCTGCCGGATGATTTGGTTCAGGGCGTTGTCCACTGGTAACACCGCGATGACTTCTTCCGGGACCGCGTCCTCAGGCAGCTGCGCTGCCTTGCAATACATCGCTTCCATTTCCACATGTTGGAAGGCGGGGTGACCTCGCTCCACCGCCGCCTCTATGAGCTGCACCACAACCTGACGCCGCACGCGAGCCTGATGTATTACACGGCCGATGTCCACATCGTCGCTCTTTGCATGCGCGCTCTTCACGATCACGCTGGCCATTTGCCGCAGCGCTTCCCCGCAGTGCGGTAGCCCACCCGCGTTCTTCTCGCGCTCTCTGCCCTTGTTTCCTGACTCTAAGGTCTGCATCTGCTGCAGCAAGTCCTCCCACGCCAAGGGGAACGTCGTTGCATTACCGCGCGCCACCAATCGGTTTCGATTCATCCACTGATCTTGATCTAAGGCGCGATCCCCTCGTAGCTTCTGTTCCAAGCTGAAGCAGACCATCGTTGTAAGACAGGGGCTTGCACACAGCATCTCCATGACTGTGACTTCTCTTTCAAAAATGTCTTGCGGCGCATAATACACCATCATATCGTTGCTCAAGGCCGCTGCGGGTTGCTTTCCTTCCCACAGCAAAGCCCGTCGACAGCCATTGCAGACTGGCACGCGGCACTTGGTGCACATTTCATCCGCCTTGCATCGCTTCTGGCATGTTTTGTCTTCTGGGCAGCACAGCAAGGTTAGCAGCTTCCCCTGCAAGTTGACTACACATGACCAGTCCTGCAACTCTTTCTTCATCTCAGCTTGCGCGAAAACCGTGCCACCAGCAACGTAAAATTTCACATACGTTTCTATGCCCAACACTTTCTCCGCCTCTAGTATGCTTAAGCCAAATACACTTGTCCCCTCGCTGTCCAACGGCCGCATCCACCGTATCGGTTGATTTCGTCCCGTCTTTGCATGCGGGTACTTCCGTGCACACACAAAGCACAGCAACGACGAGACATTGTCTCCTTCCAAGCTTTGCCGATACAGTCTCAGGGCACGCCTGTCTATGGATACATTTGCCACGGGCGCGCCGTGCTGGCAGCGCCAAGTAACCGCTCCTTGGTACGCGCGTAGCTTTTCTGCTTCGGTCAGTGTTGCCTCCATGCTGCTTGCAAAGGCCGCGTCGTGAGCAGTGGCTATGTGCACAGCCAGGTCTTCTTCATTGTCTGCTTGGAACTCACACGCCTTGAAACTGCAGTGTACATTTGGCAGGTCATACGCCACCCCTGCTTCCATCTTTTGCCAATTCCAAGGCAACGTTGGCTGCTCGCTGATTGCTTCACTCAGGCGCTCGATGCGTAGTTCTTCTGCGCGGCGGGGGTCCTTGCTCTGTTCGACGGCTTGCAGCTGCAGCACGTACAGGTCATCGTCAAAAAGCTCGCTGCTGACAGCGCTGTTTTGGCTAGCAGTTACGGATGTTTTCGTTCGCAGCCGTTTGAGTGGCCGCCACGTGGACACTGCCTTGGCATCCAGGGGGTCTTCCCTTTGTTGAGTCTGGCAAGCGCTGCTCTCAGTTTGTGCCTCCCCTTGCGCAGCTTCGCGCAGCTGCTTCGTACGGCGGTTCTGCCTGGCGAGCCCACTCTCCCGCGCAGCTTGCCGTGGCTGACGCCGCTGTATCTTTTGACCAGTACTCGACGGTCTATGCTGCGTGCTCCTCGCTGGTTCCTCCCTCCGGGCTCTTTTCTGCGTGGCTCCCTTGTCTGCTTCCGGCGCTATGCCGTGCGAGCCCAATCTTTGGCCTGCGCCTTCTGCGCGGACTGCCCACTGCGCTGGTTCGTCGGTGCCGGCGCTGTTTGCCTCTGTCCTCGCCGCGCTTTCCTGCGCGCTCACGGCGGCAGCAGTTTCTTGTGACGCGGAGCTCCAGTCGTTCTCGCGCAGCGGCAGCCGGACTAACGCGTCGAAGTGATATCCCTTTCCTGTCGAGTCAGTATGATTGTACACGTACAGCGTGTGCTGCCTGTCACTGGGTGGAGCGCCCCTTGTGAAGTCTACGTACGCCAGCTCCGCCGCAGCTCCGCCCAGCGCTGCTTGATCAAGGCAATCATGGAAGTACACTCGAATGGCGATTTCCGCTGCCCAAAGCTCACGGAAGAAGAAGCTGAGAATACGCGGCGTATCTCTGTGCCCGTCTAAGTACACTCCAAGGGGGGTTCCATGCTCGTGCAGCAAGTTTTCCCGGCACATCGCGCACACAGACGCGCGCTCACCCACAGCATACTTCTGCGGAACGATGCCCGTCAGCGTCAAGCCCAGCAACAATGAATCAATCAGGCAGTTATTGACACCATGGGAGGAAGCAATCTTGAGGTCGAGGCCTTCCTCTTCCAGTTGACGCAGCCGTTCTCTGTTGGACGTCATCCGGACCGGCACGTTTGCGCCGGCAATTCGCAGGAAACGCTCTGCCACTGCCGCGGCTACACTGTCGCTGCCATTGGCTTGCAGCTCTGTCCAGCCCTGCCAGGAATCGACCCACTCTTGCGCCAATAGGTCTTCCACTTGCTTTGCATCACTGAGCACAGACAAGCAAATCCCTGCTACTAGCTCCCGCAGCTCTGGTGCTGGCCCGCCGCCACAGCAGCGCCGCAGCCGTGCCGCAGCACACACCTCAACAAACTTAGCTGTCTCTATTGCGTGGCTGCCCCACTGTGAGCTTCGGCTCGGACGGCGTCGCTGCACACTGCCTGCGCGTGAGCACGACTGGCTGCGCGCCTCCGGCACCCCTGGCATATGGACGCTGTTGGCAGCCTCTTCGCTCTGTCCATCACTACCTATCAGAGCATCTTTTACCACGCATGACCAAGCCATCGGCCGCTCTCCTGCAGCGTCCGCCCCGGTTCCAGGCAACCGCTTCACCCGGCCCCCCGAGCTATCTCGACCCCAACGCTGCACGGCTCTTGGTAGGGGCGACCTGTGGCTGCAGCCGCTACCTGGACAGCATCGTCCATCCTGGCCTAGTACCAGGACGCGCTGACGCCGCTGAGGCGTGCTCATGTACGACCGTTGTTCCCGCTTGCGTCGTCGGACTCTGCAGACGCATGCGTATGCAAGGGGTGGGTTTATTTTCCGGCAGACGCAGCTGGTTGCCAGAGCTGCCTGCTGCTGTCCTCGGGTTTTCGACCTGTGCTGTCGCGTCACCTGTCCCCGTGTTCTAGTGCGTGGCTGCCTGTGCGCCGCAGTCACCTGGGCTTCTTCTTCACAGCAGCATACCACGGACATAATTCGATGCCTTGGCTGTTGGCTCCACCTGCATGTGCGGTGCATGCACTGCAAAGTTCGGACATCGACCCAGGCCTCGGTTGCCACTAGTCCTAACACGGTTATGGGCCGAGCGTTGCAGCTGTGAACGCCGACCAAAAATGGCTCACACCACTCTTGCCATCGACTTACGTGCCTCACGCTCTGCTGTCCGACGGCAGCTTCGGCGTACGCCCTGCGACGACACGCTGCGCAGCGCATAGATTCCGTGGCCACACTGTCTCGATTGGCACGGGACCTTGTCGAGACCGTACAGCCGACTACACTGCCCAGGGACGCCGTCTGCGGGGGGTGCCTGTTGCCTTCCGTCTGGCCCAAGCACGGATGAGGATGAGCATGCAAGCTGTAAAAGCGCGAGGTCGACCGCGCCGAGGGAAACTGCAGGAGGTGCCGCGAGGCACTCAACGGGCTGCTCCAATGCCCTTCGGGACGCCTCTCCGAGCGACGAACCGAAAGCGGCAACTCGTCTTCGTTCCCCGGAGGGGCGCCCCGAAGGGCACGGGACAAGCCCGCTAAGTGCCTCTCGGCACCTCGTGCAGTTTCAGTCGGCACGGTCGACCTCATGCTTTTACAGCCTGCATGGTCGGCCTCGTGCGTTTTTGGCCCGCACGGAAGGCAGCGCGCACCCCTATCACTTGGCATCTCTGGGGCTAGCAGCTGCAGCCGAAACATTGCGAACGTGTTCGCAGGTGCAGCCACCTTCCTGTTGCGTCGACGCACGCCGTGCTGATCCAGTGTTGCCGACCTACTCTAACTAGGTCCACGGCGGATAGACGGCCGCGACGGAAGTCCGTCATGGTTGTGGGTCTCGTACCATCAACTTCATGCAGCAAGCGCAACCGCACCTTACAATGCTTCACCCCACCCCACCCCAACCCCATTCCCACACATAGCGTCCACATCGTCTCAAGCAAACATCAAAAACAACAGCGTAGACAACAAACATCCAAAAAAATGCAAGAAAACACCATGGCCGTCTATCAGCCGTGGGCTACCTACTCTGAGCGAGCTCCGCGGATTGCGAACCTGGACTTATGAAGGGCTCAAGACCTGTCCCCAGCCCAGTGCTCCTCCTTTACTCACTGTGATTCGGCATGGGCTACACCCTATAGCTGTACCTATAGAGCATCTGGTGTCAATTCCTCTTCTCCTTGCACTGCTGGTGCTTTTTTCGAAGCCACTTACGCGAAGTGTCGGCCCCGTCCAGGTGACGGGGGGGACGACGCCAACCCACGCACGAAGCGCAAATGACGTTGGAAAACACTTTCCTTGCTCTCTGACTTTACCGATTTGTGCTCCGTTCGCTGGCGCGCAGCGATGTTGGAACATGTAGGAACCTACCCCTGCATGAAGTCGAGGACTGGCGCCCAACTCTTTGGGGGCGCAGACCGGTCTACACAGCTTGAATCGACGTGCACTCGCACTTTGCCCTAAGCTGGGTCGTCCCATTGGGCATCCTTTGTGCGGATGCCACTCGCTGCGTCGGCATTGACTAAAACTTCGAAGCTGCAGGTGTCATACCTCTGGCCAATATGGGGGGCTACATTTTATATGTGGTTGCATAAAACATAATTCGAAGTGCTTACACATTGTCTTTCAACTTTGCCAAACGTTTGGGGCACCCTTCCCTCGAGGCCTATCAGGCCTACTTTGAAGAGCTTTCAGCCAAGGTGAACAAGATTGCTGAGCTTCCAAGTGCCCCCCCCCCAAAAGGATCCCAAAGCTTCCACAAACAGCACCCTGAAATCGGTAGACTCAACATCACAAATCCAACCAAATGGAATCACGTGGGATTGTCTGTGTCAACACAGGATACAGGGATAATGCATGAAAGAGCAGTAAAGTGACCCGAGCTGTATATGATTGCAGTGCATATGTGGTGGAACTTATTCGTATTCGCTGCCTGTTGTCCCCTTCAGTTCTATCTTGAATTGTTTGGATAATTTTCCCTGGGAACCTCTCATCGAACTGAAAATGGATGCCAGGACCGCTTAATTATAGATACTGTTAACCAAGCTCACATCACCTTTTAGGGGACAACATGGGTGCTTTGAGTCGGTAACACATGGTACTTACCAAAGAACGACAGATGAACCAGCCAACCTTCCTTGCACAAGTAAGTTCCTGAGACCCGGTTCGTCTTAGTAGTTGTCCTTTTGTCAACGTTTGTCGCTTGTAGAAAAGAACCAACGATGTCTAGCACCGCCCCAGTCCGGAAACCATTGTCTGGCATGGTGCCTCCGTTGCTCTGGGTTGCGGTCGGTCGCTGCGTTGTTTCTTTTCGGAAGATTTTCAGTCCAGGAATTCCTGCCAGTCGGTCCGCATGAGATCGGAGGCCTTGCGCCCTGATGCATTCCCCAAGTCGACTTGGGCAAAACTCGCCATACGGCACCCTGCCGCTCGTGCAACATTCTTTTGCCACCGGCATCCCGCTCTTCGGGGTTAGGCCGGGCGCATGAGAGGCGCCAGTCACTATCCACTGCAGAACCCCTACCGACAACTCCACCTAATAAACAAGGTAGCTGTCGCCTCTGCTGTCCTAGCGGCGCCGCCGCGGATCTCAGGATATGTCCTAACCTGTCGGCAGGGCGAAGTGACATCCCTGTCAGCGTCGTGGCTGACATGCATTTGCATTTTTTTGCGATCTTCCACTGTCTTTACTCCTGAAGTAGGCAACTTGAGAGGAGGGAGAGACGAAAGGTAGGACAGCGGGAAGAGAAGAGAACGCGAGAGGCAGGAACAAAAATGCAATGTTCGACATGGTGATTTATCCCCTCGGAGGCGACCTTTCGTACATATATGTTCATATGCACTTTAAATGTTCAAACATGCTCTCGAAATGTTCAAAAAGATTCTTAGGAAAACAAACTTGCCCCATGGCTCAGATCATCGGTGAGCATTGAATCGGAACATCATAGGATTTGAACTATCCTGAAACCATAAGAGGCTCACGAAGACGCTCCCCAGGAGAGAATTGACGTGCTTCACAGAACACCTTTCGTGATTAGAATTTCATATTCACTCTTTCTGAATGTTCAAGAGGGTTTCAACTATCCTGAAATCATGAGAGGCTCACGAAGACGATCTCCAGGAGAGAATTGATTTTAGAGGGGGGGGGGGGGGTCTGAATTGAGCGATCAATTATTAGACCCGGACGTCCCAACACTTGCTTCGCAAGACAAACTCAAGGTATCCCCCAAAGGGCTACCTTTCGTGACATAACAAAATATCCAATTTCACGAGCATATAAGTTCATCGTCCACTATCTATAATGGTTTGCGGGCAGTTGTCAACAACCATGGGAATGTGCATAAATTTCTTCCTAGACTCTGGATGTATATCTCTTGATTTGGCAAACTTGCGCAATGCTGGAAATACATCGGCCTGGTAGTGCCGGCGCTTGCGCATGTTTTTCGGTGCCCCCTGGCATGACAATGCGCTCCAGGCAAAAGCATACTCCCGTTGCTTCCCATCTCTCCCATCTCCAAACATCTCAAGCACCCAGCGACATATATGCGTACAAAGATACATGCATCTATACACATTTATACATATCCACATACATATCTACAGATATATATATATATATATATACATACATACATACTTATATTTATATATACATATACATGTTTACATACGTACGCACATACATACACACGCAGGGAGCCTGCGAACCCTTCGGACCCAAAATGGACCGTGGGGACCTTACCGGGATGGGACGGCTCTTAACGCGGCAGGCCTGACCGTGGTCGAACCCGTCCTGGAGGTCAGCAATTACTTGCTAGGAACGGTCCAGAAGCCAGTACTGGCGGGTCGACGTGCCGGCTCGAACGAGTGGACGTCTTAGTAGGGAAGGCTTGTTCAATAATTCAAGATTGATTTTCCCTTCTTGCAAAAGCTACACAAGTCACAGGGCAGAAACTCAAAGAACAGCCTCCCAGATTCAGGGACACGTCCGAGCACGTACATGGACGGCACGTCTGTCGGCAAGTTACTGACCCGTTGGATGACCCGTTTGATGTAGAATTCACTCAGTTTCAGGTTGAGAGTGTTTTTCGAAGAACGACCGTTCGCAGGCTGTTCTCAGGTTTCAGCCTGTACCAGAGCCACCTCCACGTCCGCGGCCGCGTCCCATGTCCTCTTTACACGCTTAGTATCTCTTCCGAAGCAGGAATCAGCCCAAGTCAACACCTGGTTTGACAAATGGATCCTGCCGGTCCCCAGTTTCCCAGATCGCCATCGAAGGAACGGGATCCAAGGCGGCCGGAAAATGAACTTGAGGCCAGGGGGAGGAGGTCGAAAGCTAGCCGAATCGCACCGGATGTACTAGTGACATAGTCGGCAAAGCATGTAGCGCTTACATGTTTTGGGAGAAAGGTTGCTGCGAGTCATGTCTGTGACCATTGTATGGTCGCCGCAAGCAGCAGCAGCAGCAGCCGCCGCAGCAGCCAGCAGCCAGCAGCAACCACCAACCAGCACCCAGCCAGCAGCACCACGCAGCAGCAGCGCAGCACCAAGCCGCAGCAGCAGCAGCACCACCAGCAGCAAGCAGCAAGCAGCAAGCACAAGCAGCAGCAAGCAGCAGCAGCAGCAGCAACGGCGTCGTCAGCAACAGCAGCAGCAGCACCAAGCCGCAACAAGTAGCAAAGCAGCAGCTACAGAAGCGGCAACCAGCGGCAGCAGCAAACAGCAGCAGCAGGCCCCCCCCCCCCTTCCTGTGATATATCAAGCTTTAAGGCACGCAGCTCATTCCACTACCAATTGCTACAGCAAAAAAGAACTCAGCTAGCGTGCTAGCTTTCGTGACAATGGCAGGAATGGTCCAAATGAACTGATAAATGTGATCCACTCATGTGGCTTGCAAATCGAAGTCGTATGGTTTACTTGGCGCTCAGGTGACTCAGGTGACAAAAGCACTTCCCCTTCAAGCACAAATCCTTGCAAGTTGCTCCATGACAGTCTTCCGGCCATGCGCAAGGTCTTCCACCCAAGCTGCATTAGGTCACCTTTAGAGTCAGACCGTGCTCCTTCGCTGGTCCACGAAAGGATTTGGTATAATCCGGCCACCTGACCTATGATCTACCTGTATACATTGGGCTGTGACATGAGTCAATTGGACATCTCATCTATCGTCCAAATAGCAGCAGTTTCCTAGACCTGTTACTGTTAATGATAATGGCAATAGGATTTATATCTCTTTAACGGGTCAAGACGCCGTCTGCAGTTTACCTTGTTGCAACGTATTTTCATTCTGCGTTCCCACACTTTGTCTTTTCTGGTCGGTCGACACGACACAGATACCTGCCACGGACCTGTCCTGCCTGGCATTCTTCCGCCTAGGGGTCTTGACGTTTGCCGCTCTCCTCTAGGTGAAGCTCCAACTCCTCCAGCGTTGCGAGACTGAACAAGCAAAAGCTGCGTCTACTAGGACAGAGTTCGGTTGGAGGCCATTGCTTTCAGTCGCTCCTGGCACTACTACTGGCAACAAGAAGCTACTAGTGGCTAGAAGCTACTAGGCGGAGGCCAGGGCTATTAAATTAGGTTGGACGCCACTACTAGTAACAAGCAGCTACTAGTGGCTAGCTACCTGTTGAGCACATTTGAGGGAACTTCTTCACCAGGCTGCCTTCGCTCTCGGACTCCCACCGATCTGCAGCCTGCGGCCTGTACCCGCCATGGAGCACGGCCAGGCCACCCGGCAGCAGCGCACGGAGCTTGCGCATGGGCCTGAGGGGGAGGGGAAGCGTGCACACAGAGCTTGCTCCCTGCTGGACAGGACACAATCCGGTTGCGCGGACCGAGCAGGATGATGATTTTAGTCGCGGGTGCTTCGCTCTTGGAGAAATCGTTGGATTTGGGCCCTCAACAGTCCGGTTCGGGGAATGCTTCCGCTTCCCGGCCTACACATTCTGGGTGCTTTTTGGCAAGGGGCCTCAAAAAGAAAAGAAGAGATAAGGAAAAAGGAAGGCAGTGTTAGGGATGGTAAGGGTTTAGATTGCGGTCCTACTAGCTGCTTGTTCCTAGTCAGGCCAGCTACTAGTAGCGTCCTTGCTCCTCGTAGCAATGCCGTTTGTTCCCAATAGCTGCTTGTTCCTAGTCAGGCCGGGAGCTGCTAGTAGCGTCCTTGCTTCTAGTGGCGAGGATCCCAGTGATACTAATCAAGTATCACTATGATTCAGGGCTAAGTTTCAGGCTGAAGAATTGACTTCATGAGTTCCAACATCAAAGGACCTCGACAAATTCTACCTAAATCCCGCCTTCGAGCCCAATGTGGTGGCTTGCACCGTGGGGATCTTTGCCCGCGCGCAGACTCTCCCGCGCGCGAACACGACTGTTTTCGCATAACAGGGAAAAAGCCTAAGGCTGAAAAAACCCTGCAGCCCACGCGTCATCAAGTTCGTTGATGCCTCTGTCACATGGTTCCCGGTTCCCGCGCTGCTGGCGTGCCCCGAATACACATGCTGTTGGATTTGCATGGTGCCTCTTCGTGCTTCGACATTGCCGTGCTGCTTCGCTAGGTCCTGAATACTTCTTAGCCGATGGATGTGTGCTATGTCCTCGTGTGATTGTTCAGCGAGGAGCGCCGAAGAAGAACCGCGCAGATTTGAAACAAAGGGTTTACGCTCTGCTGGCGTCACCCCCCGAGCTCACCAGCGACTCCCGGCCGCACGCCTCACTCCTCCTCCTCCTCCCAAGGCAAAATCATGGCCATGCCGTAGGCATGGTGCCCTCTCTGGGACACCGACAGCCCAAGGATGCACACTTCCTTGCCCTGGACGATGTGCGGCGAGTTTGTGTGCCCTTCGTACAAGACCACATTGCCTGGGCCAACGCTCCAGTTCCGCACAACACGGCCAACCCCCTTCAACTAAGACTGCATGCACGCCTGCTAAAAGAGGCACATTGGATTAGACAGCTCGGTCACCTGCACATGCTTGTCTGCCTCATCCTTCACTTCATCCTTGTCAGTATCTTAACAAGCAATGGCCACCAAATGATGGGCCGCGGGAACTGTCAGACGCTCGATAATGTTCGATCTAGCAACTTCATGCCATCTACGATACATGCCGCTCCTCTGGTTTGCCAGGCTAATGCTACGATATACCTCTGTTGCTCCACAAACAATTGGCAGCCACCTTGCCAGCCAAGGTACAGGACGACGCACCCTCAGGACTGCCCGCATCACTGACCCGGATGGTTCGCCGCGGCCGCTCGTCAACCAGAAGCACTTCGGCAACGTCTCGGATCTTCATCTTGGCCCCAACAAAGACCTCGCCCTCAACAGGGACTTCCGCCTCCGCCAAGCTTGCCAGCACGCTAAATGATGCCACCGGATACTCCAGGAACTCGCCGGTCAACACACGAATTTCAGACCTGGTTGGGCCGGCAGGTCCCCCTACGTCGCCCCATCCGTCATGCGCGCATCCATCTTTGCTGCCGCAGCATTTTCCTACCCCCGCCCATGGCCAACCTGCCACAACCGCCTCCCGCCTGTCCCCCAGTGCAAGCCAAGGATATGAAACGCTACCGTGCAGGACTCTACCGGGACTCTACCGTCGACGAGCAATCCCCTGACGGGTCTGATATACTCCAATGCCATGAACAACCAGAACCAATGCTCGCCCTGCTCTCTGTTCCTAAGATGCAGCCACGATACGCCACCGAGCGCCCCCTCTTTCGCGATCCTGCACTCAGGTTCACAGATAGTTCACGAGAGCACAACCTCGGGAACAGAGCCTGCTCCGGGAGCGTCCCGTCAGTCTGTTTGGTCCATGCATTGCGAAGCTCTGCGTGGCACACCTGAATAACAGTGTCCACGCCAATGTCCACCGGCGGGGTGGCGTTACACTTTACCATCATGAACACGGCCTCGTTCCCCTCCTCGGCTTTGCTGGAGACAATGACTTTGTAGTTGGGGTATTTCGTACTCGTCGCACACAGCCAGTGCACTCTGCCCGTCGTATGCACGGGATGGATTGGTAAAGGCGTCATTGTGGCCAGGACATCGAGAGGTGTCTCCACCAATGCAGCTGCTGGCGCTACAGGTCGAGATGGCGCCGCGCCCGCCTTCGCCACTTGGAAACGTGGCATGTTCAGGCACTATCCCTCGGGCTTCTGGGACCTACCACGATGCGTTGGTGCTAATCGCAGCTTGCGGCGACCATACAATGGTCACAAACATGACTGCTTCCACAGGCCTGACTCCATATATTGAGTAGTTACCACATCTGGACTTTTGATCAATGACACTCCCCATTTGGATGCACGCACTGGCGCACATGACGAGTGATACTTTCCATTATTTCAGTGAGTGTAGAACCCCAACAAGCGGAGAATGTGTTCTTACAAGGAAACAGACTTGCAGTGGGAAGCCTCCCCGTATCGAGACTTAATCACCCAACTGGGGTGCGTTACCCTAATACTGGAAGGTTGCCACACCTACAACTCGTGCTGAGACCATGTCCAGACCACCTTGCAAGGGACAAAATCCAGTGTCCGAGATCTGGCACTCTAATACAGTACATCCAACATCATCCAACCCCATCATCCACCCCATCTTCCCAGATCTGGAACCCAGCTACCCCATCTCCGCCCATCTATCCACCCTAATTACTTGTGGCGCCCCCAAGCTGTTCGACTGAGTTGCTCCAGGTTTCAAGTCCATCAATGCCAAGCGCTTCTCATCCCGAGCGTTGCTGGTAACGAAAGAGATTTCCGCATCAGCTGGCGCGACGCCGCACGTGGCAAAAACACGCGGAAAAGAAAAGAAAGCGGTCTCGCCACAGGTAGTCTGCTTTCAGCGCGGGGGGTTAGCACTTTTCCGTGTGAGCTGAGCTGGATGAGTGTGTCAAGCGGTTTGTCCATGAGATAGTGCACTCAAAATCCGCACCTTCCTGTCACATGGTCGTCAGGGTTTGGAGTCCATTTTCCACTCAGATGGGTCTGTTGGGTATTATGGTATCAACTTATCAACCAAACAGATCCGTCCAACGGACGGTGTCCGGTGTGGATCTATGCAGCGGCCACTCCGAAGAGGTACAAAGCGACTCTCAAAACTAAGGGGTACATGGCAGCGCAAACCTAAGAGGTACATGGGTCTTCGTTTGGGGCAAGTAAAAACACCGTCCTGTCCGCTGCGTCCATAGTGGACTGCGTCCATAGTATGCTGCGTCCATTTGGAGACTCCACCAGACCGTGGGTTGAGAGTAGATAGCACAATCCCCCCAAAAGTGGTTTATATTATGGATCCCCATCTGTCTCAAACATCTTGGGGCTTGTGCCATCTTACTCAGAAACCACTGTAGCATACTGTCGGCCTTTCCCTATCAAAATATCAAAACATATATAGAGAAGTCACCTGCATACAACAGACCAGCAAAGATCTATACCTACAACAAATGTGTCCGCATAATCCTTCTCAAGGCCTCTCCACTTGTTGAATCACCTGCTGCTACTGATGATTCCGCTCAAACATATTTCAAGAGGCCCTGATGCGATGAATTCTTGATCCGGATAAGTGGTCAAGTGGTTTGCAGATTCTGCTGCATATCCGCCAAACAGTCTGGACATCAGCGCCAAAATAAGCAAGAAGCAACTGTTCCTGTGGCGTTGCATGAAGTCCTGCCTCCCCAATCTATGGAAAGACATGAAAAAGCCCTCTGCCTAATGCCAAGCGCTTCTCATCCCGAGCGTTGCTGGTGACGAAGGAGATTTCCGCATCAGCTGGCGCGACGCCGCACGTGGCAAAAACACGCGGAAAAGAAAAGAAAGCGGTCTCGCCACAGGTAGTCTGCTTTCAGCGCGGGGGGTTAGCACTTTTCCGTGTGAGCTGAGCTGGATGAGTGTGTCAAGCGGTTTGTCCATGAGATAGTGCACTCAAAATCCGTACCTTCCTGTCACATCGTCGTCAGGGTTTGGAGTCCATTTTCCACTCAGATGGGTCTGTTGGGTATTATGGTATCAACTTATCAACCAAACAGATCCGTCCAACGGACGGTGTCCGGTGTGGATCTATGCAGCGGCCACTCCGAAGAGGTACAAAGCGACTCTCAAAACTAAGAGGTACATGGCAGCGCAAACCTAAGAGGTACATGGGCCTTCGTTTGGGGCAAGTCAAAACACCGTCCTGTCCGCTGCGTCCATGCTGGATGCTGCGTCCATAGTATGCTGCGTCCATTTGGAGACTCCACCAGACCGTGGGTTGAGAGTAGATAGCACAATCCCCCCAAAAGTGGTTTATATTATGGATCCCCATCTGTCTCAGACTCTTGGGGCTTGTGCCATCTTACTCAGAAACCACTGTAGCATACTGTCGCCCTTTCCCTATCAAAATATCAAAACATATATAGAGAAGTCACCTGCATACAACAGACCAGCAAAGATCTATACCTACAACAAATGTGTCCGCATAATCCTTCTCAAGGCCTCTCCACTTGTTGAATCACCTGCTGCTACTGATGATTCCGCTCAAACCTATTTGAGGAGGCCCTGATGCGATGAATTCTTGATCCGGATAAGTGCTCAAGTGGTTTGCAGATTCTGCTGGAAATCCGCCAAACAGTCTGGACATCAGCGCCCAAATAAGCAAGAAGCAACTGTTCCTGTGGTGTTGCATGAAGTCCTGCCTCCCCAATCTATGGAAAGACATGAAAAACCCCTCTGCCAGCTACCGTGTGCTGCGCCTGCCAACAAGCAAGGGAAGAGCTCCGACGGGAAGCCACGCCTGGTCTGGGCATCAACCCAAACCCTTTCAACCGCAGCCTGCTGGGTATCAATTCTCAAGCTACGTAGCACAAACACAAAAGCCGGGCACACATATCGACCCGCCGGCTGGTGCTGGAAATACCAAAAGCATCCCCAAAACCATATTTCAAGGTCTGACAAGATCCTTGACTGTATACATCCAATGTGATAGATCAGTGTGCGCTAGGTTTCTTCAAAAGCCCGTTCACCATGGGCCGCAAGAAACCAAAGGCCACTCTCCACCGGACGGAAGCAAGTCCTTCACACCATCGTTTCGTTTGGAGTGAACAAGGCTTTGACCGAATGCATGGACTAGGCAGTCAAATCCAGCATCGCTTTTACACAAACACGCAAAGCACCCACAGCGAGCTGCCTCAAACTATTAATGGACATGTTGTGACATGTTCTTCCCAAGCACACTGTAGTGAATCCCTCTGTTAGGGGTCTGCTCTGACAAGTCACTAGTTACGAGTAGTTCCATAGGCCTTCAAAAACCATCTTTTTCCTCGTGAAAGTCTCTGCAGTGCGACCCTGTCTGCCCTGCGACCCTGGCGACCCTGGCGACCGAGAGGGCACTGCTCAACCCCCCAAGTCCCCAGATTAAATGACCTTCACTTTGTTTGGAAGCCCCACAGGACCGAAGACTGCTCAGGCTGCCCCGACTGGATGGCGATCAACAGGTTGCCGGCCCAACCTGAGTCCCGCAGTGCGGTGCTTCGGGCCAGGTGTGACATGAGTGACGTTGGGTTGTGGCGCATGCTCGTCATGGTTTCATATATTATTTGATGTCTACTAGCTGCTTGTTCCTAGTCAGGCCAGCTGCTAGTAGCGTCCTTGCTCCTCGTAGCAATGCCGTTTGTTCCCAATAGCTGCTTGTTCCTAGTCAGGCCGGGAGCTGCTAGTAGAGTCCTTGCTTCTAGTGGCCATGATCCCAGTGATACTAATCAAGTATCACTATGATTCAGGGCTAAGTTTCAGGCTGAAGAATTGACTTCATGAGTTCCAACATCAAAGGACCTCGACAAATTCTACCTACATCCCGCCTTGGAGCCCACTGTGGTGGCTTGCACCGTGGGGATCTTTGCCCGCGCACACTCCCCCGCGCGCGAACACTACTGTTTTCGAATGACAGGGAAAAAGCCTAAGGCTGAAAAAACCCTGCAGCCCACACGTCATCATGTTCGTTGATGCCTCTGTCACACGGTTCCGGGTTTCCGCGCTGCTGGCGTGCCCCGAATACACATGCTGTTGGATTTGCATGGTGCCTCTTCGTGCTTCGACATTGCCGCGCTGCTTCGCTAGGTTCTGACTACTTCTTAGCCGGTGGATGTGCGCTATGTCCTCGTGTGATTGTTCAGCGAAGAGCGCCGAAGAAGAACCACGCAGATTGGAAACATAGGGTTTACGCTCTGCTCGCGTCACCCCCCGCGCTCACCAGCGACTCACGGCCGCACGCCTCACTCCTCCTCCTCCCAAGGCAAAACCATGGCCATGCCGTAGGCATGGTGCCCTCATGGCCTCACGGCACATCGTCCCCATCAGCGCCTTCTGCTTCGAGCTCCTCATCGGCCCGGGAGGTCACACAATTGCGGATGGCTGCTGCGTCGGCTCTTGCACCTCATTCCACAAACCACACTTAGCAAACACCGGTTGCCTACGCTAAGTACCCATCACAGCTTCAACCCAATTTCACCCAATTTAGCAACCACCAGATCCGGCCAAGCCACCAAAGAGCGTGACTTCTGAAAGGTGCCCGATCGTGCGCCTCAGGCGCGACTGCTTGCCGCCTCCCGGCAACAGCTCCGCAAGACGCGCTGCCGTAGCCGCGCTGCGTTTCACTCCACTCAGAGCATCCGCTTTGATCGCTGTGGCCTTGGCTGCCCCCGCCGCGTCCCCAAAACCGGCTCTACACGACTACGCCCCGCTCCTCCTTTGTCCGCCTATGCTTGTCGATACTTGTAGACCTGTCTTACAATCTCACAGTTTCCCTCCACCCCCCCTGCGCCAAGACGCTTTCTCTGCATTGGCCATGTCGTCCTGCGTCACCTCTCGCGCCAGTCCGATCTTCTGGATAGACTTCGCGAAAGCTTCGAAGCTTCTTCGACTTGGGCAATCGCACTCAATTCGAGCCCGGTAGCCGTTGCGTAGCGGAATGGCCATTTTGAACTGCACCTCTGTCCTGAGCTCCACGCCAACTAAGAGAATTATTCCACTTGCGCTTGGCACAACCATGGTTGTTCAGGCCCCTAACTGCATGGTCAGCCCACTAATGACCTACAACCACGGTTCCCAATCGGCCCGCAACGCAAGGAATTAAGAGACCCTTCCCACTACAGAGCCACTGGCTCAGATACCACAACCACCTTGTCTACACCACCGCCTCCGTGCACCTCAGGCCCGACATTGTCGCCCCCACGAACAACGCCTTCTGCCGACGACTATCTTCCTCCCTCAGAGGATTTCCCCCACTGCTCGCAGCTGCCAAGCCACGAATGCTGCTTCAAGAGCGCGAGGAGATCCGTCCTTCTCCGCATGTTCTGTTGCTCCCTAAACTCCACAATGCAGGCCTTTGAACAGGGGGCATCTGCTCTATCCACTTCGGCGGTCACCAAGCCCACATTGTCCACCGCAGCTTCGACAAAATCGAAAAATCGAGCCAACGCCGTTCGCACTTCCAGCGCGTTCTCCGTGACCTGGATGCTTCCGTTCTCCTGCATTTCGACTTCGAAGCTCAGCTCCTGCAAAGTGCTGGGGCCAGGACCGATAAGTCGGCGGCGGCTGTGCGCGTTAGGCGTCAGGCGTCCCGTCAACAAGTCTACCCTACACGAGTCAACGCCGCAATTGCATTCCCGTCTGTGCCGTTATGTGCGTGCGTGCATAGATGTGTATGACTCGATCCAATCCACGATGGTAAAACTCCCCCGTCAGCCCGCCTTGGACAAGTAGAGCTTGATCTTGTGAAACTCTTTGGCAGCCCAAGCCTCCCGCACAGCAGAGTCTGCCTCTTCCGAAGGCTTCAGGAGCCGAAGAACTGCCATGGTGCCACAGAACCACTGGGGACGCCGAGCTCAGCCAACTAATCTGCGGAGCAAAAGCAAGGATTTTCACTTTACTGGCGATATGCCTGGTGCGTGCCATAGCCGAACTCGGTTTCTGCGTAGGCCATTCCAACATGAATCAATTTCGCAACAGTGGCCCTACGACAAGCCTAATATAACCGAAAGCAATGGTTTCTTTTGCGCAGGGTCCTTCATAGGCACGCCCTGGTTCAACTTGTTTTCCGATGGGAATGAAGCTCCCCCAAACAGGGACAATTTTTCACACCAACAAGCATCATGGGTACCAGCTTGGCTCGGTTTATACTTTGCAACCGCCAGCCAGAGCCGCTGAAATGTGGATTCCTGGTCATCACAAGACCGTCAACAACACGACCAACCGCCCCAGAAGCAGCCCCAGATCCGGGCCTTACCGGTACCTTGGGGGTCTTGGGCTGCGCCAAGTCACGGCGGTACGGCAGCCACTGCGGATCTTCGCCACGAGCCTCACCGGCGCCTCGGGGGCGAGATGCGGAGCGCGAGAAGCGGAGCGCTCGGTCATGCATTGGGTCCAGGAGGGTCATGGGTCCATAGGTCCATAGGTCATGGGTCCATAGGTCATAGATTGCAGATGATTGCAGATGATTGTGGACAGGTCAGTGGAAAATTGAAAGCGAATGACTGGGCACCGATGTCTGAAAGAGACCTGTGCTAGCACAAACCTAGCGCAAATGCTGGCACGGATCTAGCGCACACAACTCAGAACTTGTTCCAGTTTGAGATAAAAACAACACACATCACAGAGGTCATTTCTGTCTTTTCCCCAGTATAGTATACTACTACCCAAAAGCATGTCAGCAGACAGCCTAATCTACGTCGGTCAGCCACGGTGTGGCTTGAAGCACTTGGTCATGTGCCGCAAGTGAAAACCTAATCCTTACAAGCCATACTTGTTGCAGGTCATTGCAGGTCTCTGACAGACGCGGTTGTGCCATGCTTTTACCACTTCAATTTTGGCAAACCCCCGCCTTAATGGCGATCTTATGTTAGGTACCTATCTTCAGTGCCTTCATCCTATTTCTCATGATTTCTCTGCCCATCTCTGCTCTCCACATCCCTCCAACCAACCACCCCATCCTGCGCTTCGGCCCTTCGAAGGTCTTCGGACCTCGCCACGCCCTTCAAAGCTCAGAGTCGGCGGGGGGGGTCCTGCGAGGATGGAGCTCTCCACGAAGGCATTCGCTTCCAGATCCTGCAGATCCCACAGCACAGCCTGGCGATCCACACTGGGGCATAGATACTTGTCCATCCATCGGATCCATTCAGGGAGACACAGACTCTATAACGTCTTCTTTCTTTTCAAGGGTCTACGAATGTCTACGATTCTGACATGCTTCTGACTTCCAGAGGTTCCGAATTGCTTCCCATCTGCGCTACGCGCAGGTGGAAGTTCAACGAATGATGGGAGTCCAACGCGCAGTGCTTTGGGGTTCGGTCCGCCGGGGCGATGTATCAAAAGCGTGGAGTGTAGAACCTGTGACATGCTGGATGTGTTGGTCCTCCAAGGGGGCGAATTGTCTATGTCATTGGCGCACGTATGTAAGAACAAAACAGTTCTCTTCGGAAAAAGAGTGCCAATGCTGGGATATTGCGCTGACCTCGGGAACCGAATCATATGCCCAAACCCAAACCCCTGGCCAACGTAAGTGCATTGACCAGAACGTTAATAGACCCTGCCCGAACCCAAACCCAAACCCCTGGCCAACGTCAGATCAGAAACACAGCAGAGACCAAGCGTAGCGCAAGTGTAGAAACTGCTGTGACCAGAACGTTACACAGCCAGCCAACAGCACCAACACTATCACCAGCACCGGCAGCCGGCACCCAGCGCCAGCGCCGGCACCATCAACCTGTCTCCACCTGCACAGCCAGCTCACGGTACCAGCAATCGCACCGGCACCACCACATGCGCAGCCGGCACCCATCACCCCGCACCAGCACCAGCAACCTCTGTCCACCACATGCACAGCCAGCTCACAGCACCACCACCAGCACCGCCACAAGGCACCCAGCATCAGCACTAGCAAACTGTCTCCACCACAGACGCACA